ATACACCAGATCTCATCATCTTGTTTCACTCCTTAGTGGAGGCTTTCACAATCACAGATTGCTTGCATTCCACATTCAGCCTAGAGGGAGCTGGGAGAGATCAAAGGACTTAGTTTTTCCTCCTGCTCTCCTTATATTGGGAAAGTGTTAGATAGCAAACACAAAGACACAGAAAAATATTCCAATCCCAGCACTCAGGAGGCTGTGGCAGGAGGACTGCCTCAAGGTTGAGGCCAGCCTGGGCTACAAAGTGAGTTCAAGCCAACCTAAACTCCATAGTGAGACCTGGTTTCAGAAAAAAAAAATTCCACTGGCTAAAAGTTACATATGTCTGAGATGAGACTCTCTCTCCCAGCAAAGCAGATGGGAACCCGAGTAGTTCAGCTAAACAGCCAGGTAGAATATCATACAAGTTCACAGTTCCTCTGAGTCTTCCTAGCTCAGTTGGACAGAACTGAGTCTGCAGAATGTCAGATACACACATCAGCTGCACGTGGTGGCACACGCACTCGCCTGTAATCCCAGCACTTGGGAGGCTGAGGCAGGAGGATGGTTGTGAGTTTGAGACCAGCCTGGGCTACAAAGTGAGCTCAAGGCCAGCCTGAACTGCACAGCAAGACCCTGTCTCAAAAAGACAAATATGTACATACATACATACATCATGTTAGAGTCAATATAAACTACCACATGTACCACACTTTTTTGTATCAGTTGAGATATATACGTATCTTACATTAATTTAGAGCAGGGTTTAGACCAGGCATTTCATGTAGTTACAGAGCAGAAAGCAGACCTAGTGATTTGGGACCTGATCTATACCAGCTTATATTGGGTGCCTAACTTGGGGTGAGTGACTGCCAGTGAGCTCTGGTAGTCTGGACCAAGCCTGACCTGGGCTTTTCCCCTGCAGTCCTTCATGATAACAAGTTGACACATACGGACCTCAAGCCTGAAAATATTCTATTTGTGAATTCAGACTATGAGCTCACCTACAACCTGGAGAAGGTAAGATGGACTGATCTGCTTCTTGGCCATGCTGGGCCATTTGCTTTTTGCTCTTTTTGTTCTCCATTGTGTGTCTTTGGCATTTTCTGTGTCTGGCTGCAGCTGGGTAACACTAGAGTACTAGAATAGGTTAAAAGGGAAAGATTTAAGAAGATTTAAATTGGAAGAGGTCTTGAAAAAGGGTTTCCAATGGAGTGAAAAAGCACTCCCCACCCCCAGTTATAAGACATGTATTTCTATGGGGTAGGGAAGTTCAACTTCTATGACTAGAGATAATGGAGATCTCAGAGCTAAAAATGCTTTCCATCTATAGCACTTAGCCTTTGCTATGTGTTAACATATTTTCAGAAAAACAGTTCACCAGCTGGTCCTGGTGGCGTATGCCTGTAATCCCAGCACTCAGGAGGCTGAGGCACAAGGATCACAGCGAGTTTGAGGCTAGCCTGGGCTACACTGTGACTTCAAAGCCAGCCTGAACTGTGTAGCAAAACCCTGTCTCAAAAAAAAAAAAAGCACACCAGTCACTTAGATGTAGTCTTCCTCATGTTTATATATTTGCATACAACTCTATAATCATGGTTCCCTTCCATGCCCACTGTTGTAAGCCAGGAGATTTTCCAGACTGTGGGATGGAGCAAGCTAGAGTTATTTTTTTAATGTGGTACTGGGAATTGAACCTAGGACCTCTGCATTGAGCTATGTCCCTAGCCCTTTTCTTAATGTTGTGTTTTGAGACAGGATCTCACTAAGTTGCCTAGGCTGGGGTTACAAGTACATACACACTACCACACCTGAGTCAGATGCTTTTTTTAAGGCTCTAAAGTACTGTGGAGAATGCTGGTAGAATCTTGGTCTGTAGTGCAGAGATTCATCACTTCCTGCTTTGCTCCTAGAAGCGAGATGAGCGTAGTGTGAAGAGCACAGCTGTGCGGGTGGTAGATTTTGGCAGTGCTACCTTTGACCATGAGCATCATAGCACCATTGTCTCTACTCGCCACTACCGAGCACCAGAGGTCATCCTTGGTAAGGAAGGGCAGGCTGTCTTAAGTATGTGAAGTGATGTGATAAGCGTAGGGCCCTCTAAGCCTTACAATACCTGTTCTCTCCTATTCCCACCCAGAATTGGGCTGGTCACAGCCCTGTGATGTGTGGAGTATAGGCTGCATCATCTTTGAGTACTATGTTGGCTTCACTCTCTTCCAGGTAAGTGGGGAGGGGTCTTGACCATCTGGCATTCTTCTGCCTGGTTTCCTTGGGTCTGCTGGGACCTGCCTTCTCACACCTCCACATGCCCATCTGGCAGTTGATCCTCCACATCCCTTCTCAGCTGCATGGTCAGATTGGTCTTTGTTTCCCAGACTCATGACAACAGAGAGCATCTAGCCATGATGGAAAGGATCCTGGGTCCTATCCCTTCTCGGATGATTCGAAAAACAAGGTAAACCTTGAGTGGGAGGGACCTAAGCCTTTTCCTTTGCTCTCCGAAGAACTGGTGTTTCACATCATCATATTTTTTCTTTGATACCTCCCCCAGTTACTCTCTCATACAGAGAAATAAGAGAAGTATCTTTTAACCTTCTGATTCCGCAACCTCCCCTTCTCTAGAAAGCAGAAATATTTTTACCGGGGTCGCCTGGATTGGGATGAGAACACATCAGCTGGACGTTATGTTCGTGAAAACTGCAAACCACTTCGGGTGAGCCAGGCGGGGACAAATAGTGCCCAGCACCCAAAAGTCACTTCCTTAAGGCAGTTGGCCACTGGAATGCACTCCACAAGCAGAGGGCTAGGAATGGAGGGGAGGAAAACTGAAAAAAGACGTCTTTTGCCAGGCATGGTGGCACATGCCTGTAATCACAGCACTTGGGAGGCTGAGGCAGGAGGATCACTGTGAGTTCAAGGCCAGCCTGGACTACGTAGCGAGACCCAGTCTCAAAACAAAATCTACCCCCCACCCCCCGCCCCCCGCCCCGGGAGTCGAACTCACGACCTTGCGCTTGTCAGGCAGGCGCTGTGCTGCTGAGCTAAATCCCCAGCCCCTCAAAACAAAATCTTTGGTTAGTAAAGGACAATAGTGCTGGGTGTGGTGGTGCACGCCTGTAATCCCAGCACTCTGGGAGGCTGAGGCAGGAGGATCCTTACGAGTTCAAGGCCAGCCTGGGCTACAAAGTGAGCTCAGGGCCAGCCTGAACTGCATAATGAGACCGTCTCAAAAAGACAAAAAAGTAAAGGACAAATAGGAGAGTGGTTTGTGAAGGTAAGGAGGTTAAACAGCCTAATCTTGACAACCACAGAGCGCAAAGCAGTGTCCTGGATTCTTTAGGCAAAAAAAAAAAAATAAATTACCATTTGAAGAACTTACATTTTATTGCGCTATGGAAGATTCCTGAAGTTGACAAGGATATACAAGTAGAAAAACCTTTCAAAGGGTATGAAAGAGTAATTGTGCTAATGGGAAGACGGATTGAGCTGTTATATCAGAAATGTTGGAGTAGGCATGGTGGCACAGACCTATAATCTCACCACTCTGGGAGGCTGAGGCTGGAGGACAAGTTGGAGCCCAGTCTGGGCGATTTGGTGAGATCCTGTCTTAAAAAGGGCCAGGAAGCTGGGTATGGTGGCACATACCTGTAATCCCAGCACTCAGGAGGCTGAGGCAAGAGGATCAACACGAGTGAGTTCAAGGCCAGCCTGCAATATATATTGAGACCCTGTCTTAGAAAAAAACAAGAAAAGGGCCCGTGCTGAAACTAGAATATAGCTCAGTGTGGAAGGGCCTGGATTCGGTCCCAAAAGAAAAACATTGGTCATGGTTTGTTTGTGGTAAACCAGCAATCCGAATGGTTACAAGTAGATCCTTAATGAAAGCAGGGTTTCTAAGCATCCTCCTTCACCTCTTTCCTGCCCTCCTCCACCAGCGGTATCTGACATCAGAGGCAGAGGAACACCACCAGCTCTTCGATCTGATTGAAAGCATGCTAGAATATGAACCTGCTAAGCGGCTGACCTTGGGTGAAGCCCTTCAGCATCCTTTCTTCGCTCGCCTTCGGGCTGAGCCACCCAACACCAAGCTCTGGGACTCCAGTCGGGATATCAGTCGGTGACGATCAGGCTCTGGGCCCCTCTGCAGCTCTTACAGCAGTGGGTGTCCAGTCCAGGACACTGGTGCTTTTTTATACAAGAGAACAGAGCCGGAGCTTATGCCCTCTGGCTCCTTGTACACCTGTGAATATGTGAAATAGTGTAAATATGAAAGAACGTGTACCTATCACTTCAACCCCTGCCTTGTACATAATGCTGTTCATCCACACTTCCTGCCCTTGCCTGCCCCCTCACATGGAGTTGGATGGGGGCAGAGTCAGGTAACCAGGTGGCATCTACCCCATGTTTTATAAGGAATTTTGTACAGTCTTTGTGAAATAAATGATGTGCTTCATCTGACCTCCCCTTCCACGGAGTTACAGGTTTGGGGATATTGGGGTGGGGGGGATGAGCTTCTCAGAGTTTGGGTATGAAGAGAGTTGCACTTACCGTCCAAAATGTCCTTAGCCAAGCAGCCAGAGTAAAGTAACAGCATTGTAACTGGAGGGCAGCGAGGGATGAAAGAGCTTTTCTTGCAATTAAAATGGGGACAAGTCGCATTTCTCTGATATGGAAGGTGGCAGTTATCTGATACGGAATAACGAGGTTTGGGAGAGGTCTCGCTGAAGCCATTAGGTTCCTTCCCCTTACTCCTGGGTAAAATTAAAGACCCAAAACTTGTACTTGGGCTCCTAGCAGTTCTGCCTCAACTAAGCAGAAGGTTCGCGTCAGACTGCGGGCCGGGTTTGTGGCGCGAGGCCGCCTGGGAAATGTAGTTCGTTGTTCGAAAGAAGTCACGTGAGGGAAGGGGCAGAGCTGAACTGCGGGCGCTGAGTTAAGAGTGTCACGTGGGGCACTTCCCTCCTTGCCTTTGGTCAAGGCGCAGGCGCGGCGCGTTGTGGCTGCGGGCATCCTTAAAATCCTTCCGGTTGGTTCAGCCAATCCGTGCATAGAGGAGCGGGGCGGACCGACAGGAGCGGAGGGAGCTGAGGGCCACCGCTGCCGCCACTGCCGCGGCAGGGGCGTGGAGGGCAGGGGGCGGCGGAGCCCGCAGTTATAAACATGGCTCAGAACAGAGACGGCGGAAACCCGTTCGCCGAGTCCGGCGAGCTGGACAACCCCTTTCAGGTGACTCGCGCCGGCCTTCTTTGGCCAGTAGGGTTGATTCTTCCCGGTTCTGTAGGGTCGGGCTAACTTGTAAGCCCACTCATGACATTTGATCTGGGGAGGTACCGCCACGTGGGGGGTGACGGTGGCTCCAGACCAGTGAATACTTGGAGAGGACGGCCGATTTCCTGTAAGGAAGAGGTGCTGGGGCGTAGGGCGATGGACTTGGAGGCAGATGTTGGAACAACATCATGGCTCAGAAGGTGCAATACTTGGAGCCACGGGTAGTTTAGAAGAGATCCCGAGGAGTTCCCCTGGCACCGAGTGCCGTTTGAACAAGGGTCTCTATCCTTAGGACCCAGCTGTGATCCAGCACCGGCCAAGCCCGCAGTATGCCACGCTTGATGTCTACAACCCTTTTGAGACCCGGGAGGTGAGCTTCTGGAGAACACAGGACCAGGAAGGGCAGAGTATGCCAGTGGGCCCTTTTTGGGGACAGGGGACTTGGCTGCATGGAGAGGACAGAGGAAGCACTGTGGTCTTAGGTCCCTGAGAGACACCAGTCCTCCATAGATGCCTGGTCCTTTGAGCTGTAAAAGGCAGTCTTGGAAGGACCTGGAGTCTGGTAGGGCCTGAACCAAGCCGCTATCGGGAAACACTTCTGAAGAAGGTCAAGATCGGGGCTGGTTAGGGTTGAGAAAAGTGTTGATGGGTGTGCAGTTAGAAGGCAAGGATGTGGAGGACTAGACTGTTCCTCAGGATAGAGAATAGTTTAAGAAGTTAAGGGAGTGGGTGTGTAGAGCACTGTGTACTTTGAGTGTTTGGTGAAGAACTTAATCTGACTTGTGTTCGGGGATGCTGCAGGTCACAAAAGAGTTCAACATACATTGAACACAAGCATTAGCTTCCTAACAACTAGGAGAAGAGCTATTGCCCTAATGAATCCTGGTTCTAAAGATTTTGAAATAGGCTCTATATTTCTGTGTTATGAGGGACCAGATGATCTCCAAGGCCTTTTCTCCAACAGCCGACACCAGCTTACGAGCCTCCTGCCCCTACCCCTGCACCTGCACCTTTGCCTCCACCCTCAGCCCCCTCTTTACAGTCCTCGAGGAAGCTCAGCCCCACAGAACCCAAGAACTATGGCTCCTACAGCACTCAGGTCAGGGGTGTATGTGCAGGCGGGGACAGGGAGAGGGAGGAGGCCTGGGACCCAGACCTTAAACCTTCTGCTCATGCTGGATAGGCCTCAGCTGCTGCAGCCACAGCCGAGCTACTAAAGAAGCAGGAGGAACTCAACCGGAAGGCAGAGGAGTTGGACCGCAGGGAAAGAGAGCTGCAACATGTTACCCTGGGGGGCACAGCCAGTAAGTGGGGCCTGGTAGATGAGCAAGAGCATCTGGTATTTTGGAAGGAGCAAATAAAAGGCCTTAAGAGCATGGGCCCTGCAACTTACTTAATCTCTTTTTTTGCGCTCTCTCTCTTTTTTTTTTTTTTTTTTTGGTGCTGGTATTGAACCCAGGGCCTTGCACATGCCAGGCAACACTCCACAACTGATCACAACCCCAGCCCCTTGGGTGCTTTATCTTAAGTGCCTCGATTTTCTTATTTTTAAAGCAAGAATAATATTTGTGTCTGTTTGACAGGATTATTGTGAGGGTTAAAATTGTATATGAGAAATACTTCACACAAATTTTTTTCTTTTTTTGAGACAGGGTCTCTCTGTGCAGTTCAGGCTGGTCTTGAACCCACTACAGAGTCCAAGCTGGCCTTGAACTCATGGCAATCCTCTTGCCTCAGCTTCCTGACAGCTGGGATTACAGGCGTGCACCACCACGCCTGGCCTGGCGGTACAATGTTTAGATGTTGGAAATGTTGTAATAATAAACATTTGCTACTGTTACTTTACTTGTTCTTGTCTCTGGAGATCCAGGATTGGGAGGACTTGAGGGTGGACGGAAGGGGAGGTGATTCCCCCAGTTGGTCTCTCTGTCTTACTTCTGGGCTCCTCCTGTTCTCTGTGCCTTACAGCTCGACAGAACAATTGGCCCCCTCTACCTTCCTTTTGCCCAGTCCAGCCCTGCTTTTTCCAAGATATCTCCATGGAGATCCCCCAAGAATTTCAGAAGACAGTGTCCACCATGTACTACCTCTGGATGTGTGAGTAGTTTGTTTGGGTTTTTTTGTATGTTTTTTTTCCGGTACCAGGAATTGAACTCACAACCTCACGCTTGCCAGGCAGGCGCTGTGCTGCTGAGCTAAATCCCCAGCACCTAAATGTGTGAGTAGTGAGCAGCTTTTTGAAGGAAGTTACAGGTAGATCTCTTAGTGCCCTGGAGTCCATTCACTGAGGACCAGACACTTCATTTCTCCTCAGCATTTGAGAACAAGGGTAATTTCTCCAGGAGTCTTACTGTTATTCTTTTTATTATATTTAGGACTTTTTCGAACCTGTCAACCAGCCTGCTAGCAAGTGTATGTTCTTTCCTCTTCTCTTTCCTTTGTCCCTATGCATAGACATATTCTGAATTTTTTCTTTTCTCTTCTCTTCCTTTTTTTTTTTTGGTGGTGTTGTGGTTTGTATCTAGGGCCTCATGCATGCTAGGCAAGTGCCTTACTACTGAACTATATTCCTTGAGCTTTTCTTACTTTGAGACGAAGTCTTGCTAAGTTGCCCAAACTGGCCTTGAGTTTGTGATCTTCCTGCCTCAGGAGTAGTAGTACTCCCTAGTAGTTGGGAGTACAACCATACTGCCTGGTTGTATTCTGAGTTCTTTAAAAGTCTGTGCAAAGACCCACATATAGATGTGGTACACCTCTATAATCTCAAGCTTCTCAGGAGGCTGAGGCAGGAAGATTACAAATTTTGGGCCAGTTTGAGCAACTTAGTGAGACCTGGTCTCAAAATACAAAAAGTCTATGAATGGATATCCAGCTCCTCAAACAAACACATAAATAAAGGTCTTTGCAAGGGGATCAGTGCAAATGAGATTTGCATGTTATGTGTTCCTTGTTAAGTTGATCCTATGAAGGTAGGAACTGTCTTCCTTTGTGATGACACATTTGTGGAGGATTGTGAAGTGGGGGAAAGAGCTTCACTCCAGTCCAGAAGCCCTAGTCACACTGTCCCTGTGCCCCATAGGCAGCACTGCGGCTCTTCTCCTGAATTTCCTCGCCTGCCTGGCAAGCTTCTGTGTGGATAGCAGCAAGGGCTCAGGCTTTGGGCTTTCTCTGCTCTGGATCCTCCTTTTCACTCCCTGCTCCTTCGTGTGCTGGTACCGCCCCATGTATAAGGCTTTCCGGTAAGTGGAGGAGGAGGTGATGTGGGGCCTGGGGTAGGCCCTGCATCTGCTTTTCCAGCCCTAATTCTTCTCCCACCCTCCCCATTTTTTCTCTTTACAGGAGCGACAGTTCATTCAATTTCTTTGTTTTTTTCTTCATTTTCTTCGCTCAAGATGTGATCTATGTCCTCCAGGCCATTGGCATCCCAGAATGGGGGTTCAGGTGTGTGAGGCCGCCGGTGCACCCTCACTCCCTGCTAATCCTCTAGACCAAGCCAGCACTGGTTACTGGGGAAGGGGTTGTTCAAAGAAAGGTGGTGTGTTTTTCCTTGGGACATGCTAGTTTAAGGACAGAGAGGATATACTTACGGTATGAGAGTCCAGCTAACACTGGGCAGCAGAGATTGAGGGAAAGAAGGCATGTGGTCCATCTGGGAAGGCTTCCTGGAGGAGGCTTATGTGAAGATGACTGAAGAGAGAGCGGTCTGTTTGCATGGAAGATGCCTACAAGAACTTGGAGAGCTGGGTGCTAATGGTTCAGAAAGTGGAATTAAACTGTGAAGAGTGGATGTCGTGGGGATTGTGGTTTGTGGAATGCTGCCAGCCTGGCAGGGGTGGGAATAGGGCATGTTTGTGACATACCGTGGAGAAGCTGGGACAATGGAGATCCAGCCCCTAGCCACCCCTTCTCACCGGCACATGCCTCCCACAGTGGCTGGATCGCTGCTCTGGTAGCGCTCAAGATCAACACTGCCGTAGCCGTGCTCATGCTGCTGGTCGCCCTGCTCTTCACTGGCATCGCTGTGCTGGGAATTGTGATGCTGAAGCGGGTGAGGGGCTGTGTGGGAGGCTGGGCCAGGAGGGTGAGATCATAGGTCCCAAGGGGCCACAGTGGAACATTTAGGAGAATTCTCAGCTAATGGACTTCTGGGCACTGTATGAGTGCGTGTGTGCTTCCAGAGAGGGTCAGGCCCAGGAGGCAGCAGGCTGGGAGCGGCCTTGGAGTTGGGTGGGTGGGGCAGCAGTGGCTGCACTCTGCTGTAACATCTGCCCTCTTCTTGCAGATCCACTCCTTATACCGACGCACAGGTGCCAGCTTTCAGAAGGCCCAGCAAGAATTTGCTGCTGGTGTCTTCTCCAACCCGGCAGTGCGAACCGCAGCTGCCAACGCAGCCGCTGGGGCTGCCGAAAATGCCTTCCGGGGGCCATGACCCCTGTCTGGGACGCCCTGGCCCTGCCACTTGAGGGAGCCTATATAGCTCCTATCCCTGAGGTCTCGGACTGGGGAGACATCACTACTTGATGGCTTCTCTACAGTGCCCCCAATTCCAAGGCCATGACTGCTGAACCCTACATGGAGGTGCCAGGAGGTCACTGTGACCCGGTCACTGCTTGGCCTTCCCTTCACAGACCACAGTCCTGCCACCGCTGACACACTCCAACCCAGCTTCCCTCTGCTGTGCCAAGGCTGTCGCTTCAGTTATTTAAATAAAAAGAAAGTGGAACTGGAACTCAACTGTTTCCTGAGTTTTTATTGGAAATTAGGCCTTTCATTTTTCTTTTAAAGCACTGGGGAATTGAACCCAAGGCCTTCACAGGGAGCTACACCTGCACACACACACACCCGCTTTTTTTGTTTTGAGACATTGAGACTGGCTCTTGCTAAATCACTAGGTTGCTGGGCTCAAACTTGGGATCCTACAATTAAGCTTTGAGAGAAAGCAGACTGTGGAAGGGACTGGGGTGGAAGCAGTCAGTGCACTCCGCAGGGAAGGTGGGACCGTGCTGAGTAAACAGCGCTGGCGGGGCGAGGGGGGGAAACACCAGCGAACCTTGTTTCCCACCCTTCCCCATCAATGACAAGAGCCTGCTACTTCGGCCGGGAACTGCAGCTGGGAGCCTGCGAGGTTGGGCGGGCCCCTAAAGTACAGCTGGCAGCTCGGCCAGCGTCGGGGCAAAGCCGGGAGGCAAGGCGCCTAGTCCTGCACTCCGCACCGGGTCTGAGTCGGGACTACAGCTCCCGGGGTGCACCGCGCCGCGCGCCCCTCCCCGCACCCTGCCCACCCCACCCCACCCCACCCCCGCCTCTGTGTCCTCCCGCTGCGGCCGAGCCCGGGGAGCCGAGCATAGTGGGGCCGGAGCCGGGCGGGAGCTGGGCGGGAGCTGGGCGGGAGCTGGGCGGGCGACCCGGGCGAGGTGGGGCTGCGGCCTCCTCCGAGGCGGCCAGGATCCTGCAGCGCACTGAGGGCGCCCCGACCGCGCCCCTCGAGTCTCCCAGCCCCTCCTCTTTGGACCTCTTTCCACCCTCCCGGCTCAGCACCGCTGCGCTTTCCTCTCTCTGGGACCAGCCCTTCTCGGCGCCCTTGTGCCCTAGGGAGATGCGATGAGCCGGTGCCCCCGCGTCCTCATCGCCGCCTCGGGCAGGGTGCCCACCCAGTGCCCGTGGTGGGGAGGGAGCACCCCGCAGTCCCTCCGTGACGCCCCTCCGGTGGCTCCCCCCTCAGCTGGAGTCCTTGGGCAGTGCCCCCAGGGACCCAGCCAGGGGGTGGGCTCTAGAACGAGGTGGGTGGAGAGGAGAAAGGACGGGGCCTTGGGCGCCTCTGAGATGCTCCCAAGCGCCAGGGGGTGCCGAGCGAGGCGCAATCAGCCAGGCAGCAGGCATGATGCCCTCGCCTAGCGACTCCGTCCGCTCGCTGACCAGCCGGCCCAGCACCAGGGGCCTTACCCACCTCCGCCTCCACCGACCCTGGCTGCAGGCCCTACTCACGCTGGGGCTGGCCCAGGTGCTCCTGGGCATCCTGGTGGTAACCTTCAGCATGGTGGCCTCCTCCGTCACCACCACCGAGAGCATCAAGAGGTCCTGCCCATCTTGGGCTGGGTTCTCGGTGAGTTGGGTACACAGGGTGCTCAGTGACTGGGTGGGAGAGACTCCTGGGCCCCACCCCTCCTCACCAGCTTCAAGCCCGTGTCCTTGCCTCGCCTTGCCTCCCTCTTCTGGTCCTGTCCCTCCTGGCAGGGCCGGGTGCATCCTGTGGCAAGGGGCTTACTCAGGTGCCTCCCCTGCCAGGCTGAGCCTGTCCCCACTCTGTCCCCAGCTGGCGTTCTCCGGGGTAGTTGGCATTGTGTCCTGGAAGCGGCCATTCACTCTAGTGGTAGGTGCCAGGGTCCAGTGCCCCCTGGGAGGCAGGTGCCCAGCACCAGAGGGGAGGCCCACTGTGCCCTCAGGAAGGGAAGTGGCTTTCCAGTTGGTGCCAGGCAGGCACAGAAATGTCTATGGAGGTGGGGGCTCCGTCCGTGGCAGAGGGGTGCTGATGCAGGTCTCGGCCCTGAGCTGGCGCCCTCTTTCCCCAGATCTCTTTCTTCTCCTTGCTTTCGGTACTCTGTGTCATGCTCAGCATGGCTGGCTCTGTTCTCTCCTGCAAGAATGCTCAGCTGGCCCGGGACTTCCGACAGTGCTCCATGGTGAGATGTGAGGAGTGAGAGCTGGAACAAACTGGTTGGGGGAGGTGTGCAGGACACTTGAGTTTGTCCTGACCCAGGCTACCTCCCCCTTCCCACTCCTACACAGGATGGAAAGGTCTGTGTGTGCTGTCCCCCTGTTCCCCTACCCCGGCCCTGTCCCGAGCCAGGGCAGGAACTGAAAATTTCCCCTAACTCCACCTGTGATGAAGCCCGCGGCGCACTCAAAGTAAGTGGGCACGTCCCCCTTATCCCTGGCAGTCCTTCCCCCCTATCTTCTTGGTTCCCATCCTTGCCTTCCTTCCCCAGATCCTCACAGGCCCAGAAAATGTGGTTTTGTTTTGGGGAGTGCTGGGGGTCGAATCCAGGACCTCACACATGCTAGCAAGTGCTCTACCACAGTGTTCCCGGGAAGCCTGGGAATATGTGGGACACATACCTTTGCAGACCCCTCAGCCTCCCTTCTTCCGCTGCAGAACCTGCTCTTTAGTGTCTGCGGGCTCACCATTTGTGCTGCCATCATCTGCACCCTGTCTGCTATTGTCTGCTGCATCCAAATCTTCTCTCTGGACCTCGTGCATACGGTGAGAACATCCCAGAGCCAGGCAGCATCCGCCGGGCCTGAGGAGCCAGGGATGTGTGTGCTGGGACTGGGCCTGAGGGCCAGTGACCAGAGGGCTGGCTTCTAGGTACCTGGGGCTGTGGCTCACCTGCTGGATATGTCTGTTGGAGCGATATTTAGGGGGCCAAGGAGAGAAGACAGGGAATTGCTAATTGTGATGGTGCCAGTCTGAGCCAAGAGAGGGGGCTGTAGACAGCAGGACTGGATGGGTTAGAGTCTAGACCTTAGATAGAGGTGGGGATAAAGTGACAGAGAACACAAGTGGTGACTCTGGACGGGAGGCCCTAAGGAGGAAGAATTTCTGGGTAGGCTCAGGGTGATGCAGGGTTCAGGAAGAGCTGGTTATATGTGAGGACAGGAGCAGAACTGGAGCTTCTTAGAGGGAGGCAGGCCCTAAAAGTAGCATAGCTGAGAGAAGAGTGTGGGCGGTGAGGAAGAGCTGGACTCCCAGAAACCAGGCTTGACCTGCTTGCCCCCAGCAGCTGGCCCCTGAGCGCTCAGTCTCAGGCCCCCTGGGGCCACTCACCTGTACGTCCTCGGCTCCTGCCCCTCTCCTGCACACCATGCTGGACTTGGAGGAATTTGTACCACCCGTGCCCCCACCACCCTACTACCCCCCAGAGTATACGTGCAGCTCTGAGACAGACGCGCAGAGGTGAGGCCAGGTGGGGTCCGACAGGGGAACTGAGGAAGGGGGCCTGGGGCTGGGGCTGGAATGGTGGGGAGCAGTTACTTTCCAGGCTTTGATCTTCTCCCTCATCCTGCCAGCATCACATACAATGGCTCCATGGACAGCCCTGTGCCCCTGTATCCTACTGATTGCCCCCCTTCTTATGAAGCTGTCATGGGCCTTCGAGGAGACAGTCAGGTGAGTGCAGGGCCTGGGGCGGGCCAGGAAGCTGGGGAGGAGCCTGAACAAGCTGTTGTGGGTCAGGAAAACGATAGTTCTTGTGATCTTTGTAGTCCTACCACATCCTCTGCTGTCTTTGATCTTCCCCAGAGCCTGGTGAGGTGGGTGGGACAGGCACTGCGACTTCTGTGTTACACACGTGGAAAGTCAGCCAAGTGACAGAGCTGGCCTGGGATCTCGGAGTTCTGTCCAGCGCGTGGGAGTGGCTCTGCCAGTGTGCGTGGTGGACCTTTGACTCTCTCATCTTCTGCAGGCCACTCTGTTTGATCCTCAGCTTCACGACGGCACCTGCATGTGCGAGCGAGTGGCCTCCATTGTGGATGGTGAGCAGAGAGCGAGGGGGAGGAGTGGATGAGGCAGGGATGCCATGGACAGGAGGGCCAGATCGGGGCCTCAGCTGATGATTTAGGGACAAAGGAAGGCTGTGGCTTCTTGAACCCTGGATCGGCCTGTCTCTTCTGAGACAAGCTAGAGACGGACTGGCCCAAAGGCGGCGCTGCCTGGCGGGGACACGCCGGCGGTGCTACCAGCGCCCTCTGCCGCCCACAGTGTCCATGGACAGCGGGTCTCTGGTGCTGTCGGCCATCGGCGACCTCCCGGGGGGTTCCAGCCCGTCAGAGGATTCGTGCCTGCTGGAGCTGCAGGGCTCCGTGCGCTCCGTCGACTACGTGCTCTTCCGCTCCATCCAGCGCAGCCGCGCCGGCTACTGCCTCAGCCTGGACTGCGGTTTGCGGGGGCCCTTCGAGGAGAGCCCCCTGCCTCGGC